TTGTCACAGTCATCATCTGGCCATCATCACCCTCTACATCAATGACTGCACCATCATCACCCATCAACCCAAGCTCAGAGGCATCAAGCAACTCATTGCCAATGGCTTCCCCATCAAGGTGAAGCTATGTTGGTCCTCAGGATCAAGATCCATTGTGACTGTCACACTGGCAAGCTCTACATCTGACAGTGTGGCAAGATCAACAACATCCTCACCACCTTCAAGCTCACCAACTGCAAGCCCATGTTGACCCCAATGCTGCCAAAACTACAGCTGTTGGTTTACACCAAGCAGCACAACAACTTCAAGTACCACAGCACCATCAGCATGTTATCATACCTGGCACATGCCTCACAACCAGACATCCTGTTGCTTACCTCAGCTGCTTCGCCAACAACTTCAGCCCTGAACATGTTGCTGCTGTCAAGTGCATCATGTGCTATCTTGCTGGCACAGCCAACCTGGCGATCTGCTACTTGTGTGACCTCTATGATGACTACATGGAACAACAAACAATTCCAAACTCCCACCATTGCTCAAAGACCTAAGCTGTTCAACCAATTAGAACAGACCAGAGAAACCTTTGAAAGAATACTGCGTTCTTATGTTTATTCACTTCTTTCTCTCTTCTCAAATACATCTCTTTACACCACTACACATTTCCTGCTCCAACATACATGACCACAACCCTGAGAATTGGCCTTTCCTGGGTTGGCCTGTGCCATTGTCCCTCAGTTGTGAAACGTGTGTGTTGAGGACTGCCCCACCAGAGTTGTGGTGCAGGTCACAAGGGCAGAAATGGGGGGACTTCCAATCCAGATTGCAAGCGCCTCCACTGCCAGGACGGTAGATGGTAAAAAGACCATTTTTTCCACCTTTTGCAAGATGGAACTTATAGGCTAATTCTGGCTTGTTGATTTCACCTTTTTTTCACCTTAAAGTACACCTTTTTTCATGTTACAGTGCACCTATTTTCATGTTACACTGTATTGGAAAATATGCACAATTACACCTTCTCACCACCTTCACCTCCGCCTTCTCACCACCTTCTTTCCACCTTCACCTCTGCCTTCTTGCCACCTTCTTTCCACCTTCACCTCTGCCTTCTCTCCATCTTTGCCTCTGCTGTGGGTCATAGCTGCTTGTGGTCATTGTCTGCCACTTGTGCCACTTGTGGTTGTTGTCTGCCATTCATGCTGCTTGTGGTCATTGCCAAAGTCTGCTGCTTGTGGTTGTTGTCCACTGTTTGTGCCACTTGTGGTTGTCCACCACTCATGGTTGTCTGCCACTTGTGGTTGTCCACCACTTGTGGTTGCCTGCCCACCAACACTGTTGTCATTCAAGTCGTTGTGTGTGTGTGTGTGTGTGTGCGCACATGTGCATGTGTGAGTAAGCTATCAAATGGAAAGGTACATGTGAAGAGAGCATACCATGTCACTCTTGGCTCATTCCCACCCACCACCCTCCCACCTGCCCACCACCACTGTTGTTGTTCAGGTTGCTGCCTACCAGTTTGTGCTGCTTGTGGTCATCCACTGCTCATGGTCACTGAAGTCTGCCACTTGTGGTTGTCTGCCACTTGTGGTTGTCCACTGCTTGTGGTCATCTGCTGCTTGTGGTCATCCACCACTTGTGGTTGTCCACTGAAGTCTCCTGCTTGTGGTCCACTAGTAGTTGTGGTCATCCATTCTTCCTCAAAGTCCACTCTCACTGGCCATCACATAGGGTTGGTGAGGCGTGGCCCACCTATCACTGATGTGCCACCTCACTTGGTGGTTCCCTCCACCTGCAGAATGCAGCTGTGTGGGTTCTGTGGATGAAGAATGTAAAATATTCAAAGCAAAAAAGGGTCTGAAAGAAAAGTGGCTCCATTGCAACTGCATTCTTTGAATGTCTTGTTGTGCTTGCATGATTCACTAACTGGCATAAAAATATTCAAAAAAGCTGCTCTGGTCTGTAGGCAATCTGCAGAACTGCCCTGAGGGGAAATACTGACCCTGCTTCTGCAGGCAATCCATGGAACCTCCACAAACTGGGAAATATCCACCCAGGTTTACCTGTGTAAAGGCTGGGCATGGCTACAAGATTGGCATTCAGCTCTCACCCCCTGGCAAAGTAGCAGCTACCCCAGACCAGAAGCCCCATTGATTGCCACCATCAACA